TTTAAATTCTTGCAATTGAATATGTTTAATATCATACTGATATACTGTATATTCCAGGAAAAGCTTCAAAGAGAATGTTGCTTCTAAATCCCTTTCCTTGCAACTATCTTAGCACCTTTTAAATTCTTGCAATTGAATATGTTTAATATCATACTGATATACTGTATATTCCAGGAAAAGCTTCAAAGAGAATGTTGCCCTCAACTGGAAACAGCCAGTGTTCGTAATCAATCCTTTGATTACGAACACTGGCACGGTGGCACGGTGGCTGAGTGGATAGCACTCTCGCCTCTCAGCAAGAAGGTCCTGGGTTCGAATCCCGGTCGGACCAGGGCCTTTCTGAGTGGAGTTTGCATGTTCTCCCCGTGTCTGCGTAGGTTTCCTCCGGGTACTCCGGTTTCCCCTACCACTAAAAACATGTCCAATAGTTCTGGCATGCGCCTCCTGTACTGGCGACCCCGCTCCCATCTCTGTGTGGAGTGAGAGACAAATGCCCAAAAAATTAACAATTGTAAACCGCTTTGAGACTCAGATCTGCAGTGAAAAGGCGGTATATAAATAAAAACTTACTTACTTACTTACTACTTACTTTAATTCATCAGGAGGAGTAAAATGTATCTGTAGAGTAAAGGCTTTCACCATAAATAATATGTACAACAATATATAATTTAGTGGAATTTATGCTGCACTTAATCACAGTGCAGAAATATAGAACATACGGTATGGAAAAAAAATTGACAATTTAAAAGTATACAGGAGGATTATCCCAAATTTTAGGAAAGAACCGCCCTCGCCACTTTTTCAACAAAACTCTCTGGGCTTATTTGACGAGCACGTATCACCAGAATGATTGACAATCGGGAGAACTAATAGTCTTGATGATCCACCCGGAAGTAGAAATATACCTTTAACGGTGCAAATTTTATTAAACATGAGAAAACTTACCAATACATGTTTTTACTACAGCCATATAAATTGTGTTTCTGCCAGGTTTGGAAAGTGATGGATGCTTCACAGTCGCACAGCTGCGGTGGACGTCACTGGTTGTCTCTTCATTTTTTTTACTGCTAAGACAGGTGAAAACAAAACTATAAATTAAGACTATAGCTGTGATGGATGTCTATGTGTTTCATGACATTTTCGATTGGATTCAATGCTTTTCACAGATTCTGAAGTTGGCTGTGTGCCTGTCCATTGTGATTCTAGTCAAGTAGAGTTTGGCTCCAATTCCTATAGAAGAAATATGCTTGGTTATGAATATTCTAACATCAGAAGCTACTGTTATCACTACACCAGATATTAATTGCTACCCAGGGGTATACCTTTCCAACGGGGAAGATGGGCATGTGCTTGGGGTCCCTATAAAAGGCTCCAGAGAGCAGACACACTTTGAATCATCAAGAAACTACGCATGGGAATTGAAGCGGTTATTGTTTTTATCACTGTGGAAGACAGATAGCGGAAAATAACATTATGCAAATAGAGGTAAAAATATGTTACAACCTTGCACAGAAGATAACAATGTATTCACAAAAATTGACATTAAGTTGTCATACAGCTCGTGTGCAGTCAAAGGTTGGTATGGAGCAAAGGTTCAGACTGGAAGACTCTGTTGTCACTCACTCATCTTTTCACTTCAATTTTGTTTGTTTGTTTTTTTTTCATTCAAAATAACAGGGACAGTGTACAATAAACATTAACCTCAAAGGGAAAGATGCATTGTACCAGATTATAGCTCAAGAGAATATTTCCCCCGTAGTCCCTGGGCAGGCTGATGTTATGATATTACATTAAAAATAACTGACATTCATGGATGTACGGTTTACATTTGGACAAAAAAATGTAAACCGTACATTGAATGTAGTCAATTCTCCCAACCACATTCAATTGAATTGTAGCCCTAATTCAAAAATGAATTACACATTTTCATCACACCCTAAGTTTCTTGCACCCTACCTTCTCATGCACTAACCAACTACGCAATCTAAACCAAACTCTATAATCTAGACATCATTCTAAACAATATTTTTTATGGAGTCTTTCCGGATTGGACCAGATTATCTTTGTGTTTCTTAAAACGGTAAGACTTTATAATACTATACAAGCATTATCATTCATCTCATGAGTTTGTTATTTGTTCATCAAGATTGACCATGAATTCAGGTACAAGATGAGTTCTTTCTTGAATCATAAACTTCTGTAATGAGTGATCATCTTAGTCCTAAAGTCTTCCATAGATTAACCAGAGTCATGATGATGATTCATGGTGATCCCTCATGAGCTTCTTTAAAAAAAATAGACCAGAATAAATTCTAATCTTATTGTACTGTAGTAGTAATGAATCAATGAAGTAATGAGCTCATCATTCCTTCTTCATGTTTTGTCCCCTCAAAACCTGACCCTGGCCGTGGGTCATTGGAACCGGGCCATAAGGGAAGAGTAAACTCTGAGTATATCCGTGATCCAGGTGGCGCCGTGTCCTCTCTGCTGTTATAACACTGCCTTTTTGCATCTCAGGGGGTGGTTGGCTGCGGCTCTGAGAAAATATTGACCAGTCCATGCCACTAAAAAAGTTGGAGATCGCTATTAAAGAATATAACCTTGTGGTCTTTTAAGAATAATCATGATAAAACCTGATACATGTGATTTCCCCAACATCATGATGAACTCATGTGACTCATGTGACTCATACATGTTATAGATAATTAGTTAGTGTAAGTGTTACTTTCAAAACTAAAGGCCTCAGGATACTCTTCCAACACTCTCTTACTGCATGTGTTTGCGGATTGTCACAGAGCTCTGGGACCAGTAAACTTCTCCCTCCTGGTGTGAGCTACGGAAATGAAATGGAGAGTCCTGGATCTACAGCCTGTCTGTCCGTGGGAGCATATCCCTCCGTCAATGTGGGCCTCCTCGAAGTTTCCCACTTTTCTCCCATTTGGTTTTAGAGTTTTTCCTTTACAGATGCAGGAGGGTCCAAGGACAGAGGTGATGATCCAGGACATTCGGCATTCAACAACTTGGACATTGGTCATCCGCCCCTTATGAAGCATTGGCTCTATGTGTTTTTAATCAATGCATTTCTTGTGTTTGAACTGTTTGATTCTCTGATCTATGTTGATGAATTAGATGATTTTGTAATGTGCTCCGAAATGACTACTGTTGTAATTTGGGCCTATACAAAAACGAATTGATTTGAATGTTCCCATCTGATCAGTAGGGGCCGGACCACCGGTTTACCATGAGGCCAGTGTCCAGTGACCGTGGTTGTATTAGAATGATGCTGGCAAACTTGTTTTGCATGTTGTGCTTCCTTGAGACCACTGTTATTGTTGGAGCTGAATATTTTTGAAACACAGATGCACTTGATGGACAAATACTGCTGTTCGTGACACCCACAGTCTCTTCACATGCCATTATTCATTAGGGACGGCGGCTGTAGCGCGAGGAAACATGAAGGCGTTCTACTAAGCAAAGGACTGACATGTTATTACAATCCAGCTGTTTTTTGTCACTGAAAAAAGAAAAAAAAGTGACGTGATTTTAATGATTTTGGATACTGACAGCAACACAGGACACTCTAACATTTTACAGCATTTATGGACATTTATCAACATTCATGGACATTGGTCAACTCCCCATGGATCAATACCTATGTGTTCTATATGTTTTGTGTTTTATTTGTTTGATTCTCTGATCGGTGTTGGCGATTTCAAGGGTTTTTGTCCTCAGATAACTACTGCTTAGGGCTATACAAGAATACATTGAATTGAATTGAGGACAGAAGCCACGCAATATCTTTTCTTACTCATTTCAAATTATCCAACAAAACTTTTCACATACAGTATTTTTGTTCCTGTTCATTAGTATACTACAGGATGAAAAACTATTAGATTGATTATTATTTGTTGTTTAGTTTGAGTGTCTATTTAAAATCTTGAATTATTAGATTGAGTAAAACAATATGGCGACATAGCTACTTTTTGCTACCTGTTAAGAGACGCACAAGTGATCATGAAGTTGCTTGTTGCCTGGAGGCCCGAAGCAACACTGCGCCCTTCAGCACCTAGTCATAGTGGAGAGAGTTTTTATATAGGTATCTGTGAAAAATATTCTACATGTGTTCTTCCATTCGCACAAACAGTTCGAACAGTTCTCTTTTCCCTGTGGATTAAACCTGGTGAAGCCAATAGCTACTTGAGAAAAAGTGGAGAAGTCATGAAAACTTTCACAATAACTATTCTTGCAGCATGTAAATGTAAATACAATCATGTCTTTGCAGAAACAATCATGTTGACGTTGAATCTGTCTTTGTGCAAAGCTACTACCACCTGAAGCTAATCGTAGCTGCTAGCCTTAGAGATCGCTATAAAGTGGTACGTGTCGGAAAATCTGTTACACAATTTGTATAAAACCTATGGTAATCGCAGAATCAACAGTTGAAACAGCCATAATTCCAATTCTTTGAAAATGAAGTGCCTCTTGGTTCATTCTTGATCATAGGACAAATATCGTTAGCCTCATAACACCGATATTGCGCTCAAAGGTGGTCTACATTTAATAGCATCTCATTTGTTTTCAGCGTCACAGTGAACCGTGTATCCAAAATGAAATGACTGTCTTTATAGCTGCGCGGGGTACTATAAATCTTTTGTATATCGCCAACAGCGACAACAACAAAAATTCTCACAGCCAGGGGCAAAATGCCAAAACTTAAGTCGCTAAAAGCTTCTTCCCCCACATGCAGTGATTTCGCCCTTGCGCTAACATAACCATTCAACAGGTTTACAGCGGTAAAGTCTGAACAAAATTGATAAAAACGTTCTGGTCTAAGAATCAGACTCAAAATCTTCTATGTTACCAGGCTTTGACACCTGAGCAGCTCATCACTCAAAAACACACAGTAGAAAAATAATTGCAAAACGTTCTGATTGTATTTCCCCCTTTGTCAATCAAGATCATTTTAGATTTGGATCACAAAATTCTTACCTCACATAACATTACCCATAAAGGCTCAGGTACTCCTTTAACAGCAGGCGGACCCGTACCGCCTGAACCTTTTCCCAACACACAAAACTCTCTTTCGACTTGACAGCGAAACCAGAAGGGGCAGAAAGTGTCATTTTTGTTCTGCGTCAAGCACACGTCACTATAGGGGGATCTGCCTCCTGTGTTTGCTCTCCAAAACGCACACTGTAGGCAACCAATTATGCAGTTTGAATCCAGGCATAAAGGGGAAAAAGAGACATTTGGAATTCATATCTGCAGGCTACTATTCTTTATTGCAATACCAGATTTTTAAAAAAAGACAATGACACCAAGGTGAATCTGCTGCCTGCCAACCGCTCATGGGGCTCTGGGGGTGAATCGTGCTGTATGCAAAAGTCAGAAGACAGTCCAGGAGGAAGTGATTCATTTTCTCAGAGCCTGATGTCATATGTCATGTCTAAACCATTGTTGAGACTGGCTTCATGTGCACCGTGAAGCTACATTTATCCTCAGAACAAATGGTGCGCAGGTGGCCAGATGTCTCATTCTGTCAAAGTATCAGGGTTATTACTAGGCCTCAAAGTTCAGTCATGTTGGGAGATTTGGATTTTCTACATTGGCTGATACGGTGTACAGAACGGAGGAAAGAGCAGTTCTAACAAGACAAGAATATTAGACTCATGTAAAAGCAATAGGCAAAAAGTGATGAAAAATAAGTCAAAATTGCTAAAATATCGAAAAATGTATCCTATTTTCCAGTCAGAACGTGCTGAAAACCAGATTTGCCAATGGGACAAGCTAAATCTTCTTGTTTTAAAAAGATACGGTATATGAAATGTCTCCCTTGGAAAGAGAATATATGAGATAATAAAGCAACAGTTCTTAAAATGAGACTAAATGGCCTTTTTCATAAGCAAATCTTGTTTTAAGACAGTCAGAATGTACTCAAATTAAGATAAAAACCACTAAATTCAAGCGATTATTATGCATTCACATTTCAATAGTATCTTAGAACATTAAAAATCAATATTTGTGTCGTGTAGAAATCTATGTATAGATGAAATATGTGTGCAAATACTGGAGAGTTTATTGAATTGGGTATTGGTTTGATGATATCTGTTCAGCTGATGTCCTGATTGGGCTTTTGATATAATTAGGCCATGTACTGTAGTCCCAACAGCGTGTCCTGGGTCTTCCCCACGGCCTCCTCTTGGTGCGACATCCCCGGAACACCTCCCAACCAAGAGACACGTCCAGTGGGCATCTGGGCGGCTCCCTGAGGGTCTTGCACTGGTGTCGGTTCATTTTGTGTCTGGGCAGATATAGAAAGTATTGGCGTCAGTGTTAGAAAAGGTTGAAAAAGGTTGGTACGGTGCATTTCTAATATATACAATAAACTAGGACTTTGCAAATGAAAAGTAACCAATCTCAAATGAATTTTAAATATCGACATGTGAATAAAAGGATAAAATCGAGAGGCATTAATCAATCTGTCTTTACAAAGTTTGGCCTTGATGCACAACAGAACCTGGTTGTGCCTCAGACTCCCTTTTTCCCGTTAAAATGTTGCTTTCTGCATTTTGGATCCTAAAGAGCACCAGAGTGACCTGCATACCCAACCTCTTTCAGAAGTAGTAAATTAAAAAATGTTATATTTTATAAAATTGTATACTTTAGGAATTTTTTTTTATTCTCTACCCTTGACTTTTGACAATTTCCTGATCTGTTACTTCCTGTTATAAAATTATTTTGATTCTGATCCTGATTTTGAACTTAAAAATAAAATCATAATCAAATAAAAAAATTGTGATCGGTAAATATGAGCTGAAAGATTTTGACTTTTATTTTATCCTTTATTGTTGAGCCCTACTATGACATGACTTATAATTATAACACTTCTTCAATGTAGTAAAGTAACTGTCATAATGACCCCTGGACAAAATGTCAGTGGTGTTCACACAGAAGCTTTTGCACCTTTCACGTTTATATAAAACTGCTTTTGGTTGAAGTGAGTATATATAAAATTGTCACAGCATCACACAGAACAATAAATTTCTTTGCAAATCCCCGTTTCCTATTTGGAGAGAAGACTTTTTACCACACAACTTGTCAAAATAAGCCTCCAATCCCAATTGCGTGGGAGTTGTTGGAAAGAACATAATACAATTATTTCCATGGGTACATCTAGAGTTTTACTTTTGTATTAATATTGGGATGTTTCCACTTTGGGACGTGTCCATATATTCAAACTAATTAATCCACCACCTGTTTTTATTTTCTGTAAACTGAAATACATTGACTGTGAGAGCTTTGTGGCATCAATATACTGTACATGGAAAAAGCTTTAGATTGCCATAAGTTTTGTCACCGTTGTTTACATATACTTATGAAACTATACTAATTATACAACTACTACCACTACTATAATAATAAATATAGTAAGTATTTATTTGTATAGCACTTTTCCAAAACTGTCAACCAGTCAATAAAACATTCATAATAATATATATAAAAATAAATACAGAAGATTAAAGCAGACGGACGACACACAACAAGAAAGACAGTTCAATAAAAGTGGGTTTTAGAAGTGGTTTTAAAGAAAGATTTTAGATAAGATAAGAGATCCTCTATTCGTCCCAGAGTGGGGAAAATAATAAAATAAAAAAATAACAACTACTGCTACTGCTGCTACTATTACAACTACCACAACTACTGAAGTGTCCCTTCTTGTCCGCTCTAGAGCAGGTCTGTCATGTAGACTGTGATTGGCTGGTTTACCTCAGAAGTCGCCTACAGCCAGAGCCCTGTTTGCCATCAGGGGGTGATTCTCGGGATACTGCCTGATGCCCGTAGTGCACACTAGATAAGATAAGATATACTTTATTGATCTCACAAAGGAGAAATGTACATGTTACATCTGGCATGGATAGAAACACTCAAGATTGTGCAAAAGACAGAAATGAAATGTGCAAACATGTTAAATGCAAGATATATTATGTACAATAAAAGTGGCAAATATTTTTTTTTCCATCTTAATGCAGTGACTTAAAGTGACTTGTTGTACAGTCTGACAGCAGTGGGGATAAAGGCCCTGCTTCTTACACTGAGAGATGCCTCAGTCTTCCATTGAAGGAGCTCCATTCATGTCACTACTATCACCACTACTACTACTATTACTACTACAACTACTGCTGCTTCTGTCCAATCTACTCCTCCTTCTAACGATTACTTTTGTTGAGAAAGTTCTACAGTATGACATTTTATTTTCCAACAAAATATGAGACAGGCAAGTGACTTCATTATGTTACAATGTATTTATAGTTACAGAATACTAAATACCTCCTTTTCGGTATTTTTTGTAACATAATCCTGCACATGGTTGAAGGACTACTGTAGTCTGAATATTTTGAATACTTTTAGCCTCATTTTCATAGTGTTGTACAATATTGAACAACGCAATGAATTAAAACATCTGAGACTTTTTAACACACGGCCATTCTACATACTAATGATAATACAGTAACTACTATTTATGATGTCACACAATCATAAAATAAACAAATAGGTCAAATGTTCTTGTTTTTTCTGAATTGACATACTTTACTTTAGAGTAAGTTATGAAGTAATCCTCAACTCTTGATTCAAATATAGTACTTATTATCTGCTGTTCTGTTTGCAGTAAGATCACATTAGGATTTTATTACAGCACTTGGTTGTTTACATTGTTTATTCTCTCGGCCTGTACAGAAATTCCATAACAATACCATTGATATCAACCATACCGGCTGGTGTGTGCCTTTCCTGTCCACTCACAATGACAATACAAGATTCTGACTCTAATTGATAACATTCCAGGTCTTTCATAGTTTTGTGAAAAGTGTCTCTACTTCATAAAAATCCATAATTATAATCCCCCTGTGCGACTCACCCATTGAACTTGTTATTATTGTGAAACTTCTGTGTGGGCTGTCAACAGGACTTACCCCATGTGAGGTCCAGAGAAAGTGCTGCTTGTTCTACAGCACACTGGCGCCATCCTGAGGCCATGATGTGAACTGCGCCAACGTATTGTAAGTGATTAATTTCCGGTAAGGGTCAATGAGAAATGACTTTTATTGAATTTCACGTTAAAAGTCAATTTTTAGAGGAGACTAATACTCTGTGGTTAAGCCAAAACTAATATCAAAACATATTAGAGCGTTCTAATGGGTGCTGAACTACACTTTAAAGCAATTGGAGGGACACATAGTCAATTAAATAAAAGATTTGCATTGTTTGTCAATATCTGTTACTAAAACGTGTGCTTTACTAACACATTCATCTTGTTGGACACAGTTTTTTTGTAAATAAACATACATTTATTCTTGTCACAATTTCACGAAAGCAAGGTTTTTTGTGTTATTTAGCCTTTTGTGATAGAATGTCTAATATGGAATGCATTAAATGTATTGGAAAGTATGATTGTCTATGTCTGTTATTTATGATGTGATGTATGGAGAGGGCAGATGGAGAATAACTGGGACTAAAACCATTACGTCATGTTCTCTCATGAATTTCTGAGTTCACTTTTCAATCCAGCTCTACTCAAGCTGTCATAATGTCCTACACATCCGTTGACATGATGTTATGTTTACTCTATGTTCATCACTGCAGTGAGCTAAAGGGCTGTTGCTTTTCATTACTATCATTGTATTATTAGCTACTTATAGAAATGTGTATGTATTTGTTTTGTGTGTATGTTAGGATGCGTTTTTGCTGCTTTGGGACACCTGAATTTCTCAATAAAGAAAGGATTAATAAAGTATCCATATATCTATTTATTGCCCAATTGTAAGTATTATACGTTTCCCTAGATTATGAAATAATATCTCTGTCCCCAGACAAAGTAAAAGTGCATTAATATTTCTGTCGTGACTTGTGCAACAGAGGGCGCTGTTTTCTAAGTGAAAGTTGTAAGGCTCAAGCATGAGATATGTCTTGTAAGCTTTTGTCGGTGCATCTCCAAACTCCACTCTATTTTAGGAAAGAGGAAAGACAAGAAGACGGATTCACGGGAATAGACTCATCACTCATGATAAATGCTTTTGATGGATTGCAAAAACCTTTGAGTGGGGATTACATGGGGTAAAAAACACATCACTTCATCATTCTGCAAAGACAAAAAAAGGAATCATTGTGCAAAGACAATAACCAAAATGAACTCTAAGTCTAACCCTCTATATAGATATAGAAACAGGCTTCTTGTTGCACTGGTGAGTCCTGGGCATAGACAACGTTAAATATCTGTAACTGAAGCTGAAGTGTGACATTTCACATTGCAATAGAGTCAGGAGGTGCAAGCAGGTTACACAGAGGTTTGACTCCACTGCCCTGAGTGCAGCTTGTGAACTGGGACTGGACTCATTAGACCAGGCATGTCAAACCCAGGCCTGTGATCCAAATCCGGGCCCGCAAGGTCATCTTTTGTGGCCCCTTTAATGATTTTGAATTATCTACAGCACAGTTCCTTGCAGCATTGATGGTAATGGGCTACTGTGGCATGTTATACTTCACTTTAAAGTTAGGTAGTTAAATTTTAAACATAACAATTATCAATCTTCCAAAAACCTCTTTTGGCCCAGCTCTGTTTGAATCCAAATGTAAGAGAAAATCATATCCAAACTCATGGCAAATGCAATAAAAAAGACAAAGATATGACAAAAAAATTATACCACTTTTATACTAATGGCCGCATGTAGTTATTAAAATGTGTTTGACGGCCACTGCATTAGACAGAGCAGTGCACTTCTGACCCAAGAAATTGAAAGTTTTGATTATTTTCAGAAAGAAATGTATAATTGTATTAGTATTGTCTTCCATGCAGCTTATGAAGTCTCCTGGTCAAGCAACTGGACATTTTAGAATTGCTTCCTTATTATGCTAAATCTAGAGAGACTGTGGGATGGATGACAAATCTCTTAATCTTATCTTGTTTTGTTAAGCACTTGTTGCCTTGTGTGTGAACTGTGTTATACAAATAAACTTGTGTCCTCAAGCAAGACATGTGAGTGTCTTTGTACAAAAGGGAATAATGGAGTAATGATTTGGTTGGTTTGTAGTTGCTGTATAAAGGACACATGTTTGAATAATGTGATAAATAGCTAGTAATTATACATTCACATTTAGAAATAGAAGCAACATAGCTCCACCTGCGGGAAGTTCATGTGTTCCCATTTGATAAACAGATCTATGTGCCATTTTAAAATATACATAAAAAGGTGGAAGTCTATTTCACATTTTTTCCTCATACCAAAGATAACTTGAGCATATTTTACATAACTGTATCTGTAAAAATACCCATAGGCCCTGAAACTAAACAGCATGTACGACCTGCTGCTCTAATGATTGTCCAGAGAAATGTGGTTCATTGATTTTAAGTCAATGTACCACACTTAAAGATCAGTATTGATAAGAAGAAGAACATAAAGTACACTGATAATATATTGTTTTTGTAATTTTGCCCCAATGATGAGAAGAGATCAAGCACAGAGAGGTTGTAGATTTTCCCTATGATTTGTAACTTGGGAATACAAACATGTAACCCCTGGAAGAAAAAAAAAAGATTCTTTTCCAATTCTTTTGTACCCTCTGCCATAAAGCGCCTTTCACAGACCAGAGTCACAAAGCGTTTTACAATCGTCGTGGACATTTGTCTCTCACTCCACACAGAGATGGGAGCAGGGTCGCCGCATACAGGAGGAGTGTGCCAGACCTATTGTGCATGTTTTTAGTTGTAGGGGAAACTGGAGCACCAGGAGGAAACCTACGCAGACACGGGAAGAACACGCAAACTCCACTCAGAATGGTCCTGGAGGTGGAATTTGACCAATTTTTTTAACTTATATTGTAACCTGCTGCTGCGTGAACTGTTAGGCCTGACTATGTATTTGTGTGTGTGTCAGGGGGTGCAAAATGGGTGGTTTTACTATGGTTTTATGTTTTCATGCATGTTGTGTGTGTGGTTTTTTACATTGTGTTTTTACTTGCACCACCCGAAGCACCCCGGCTCCCCACGTGACGATAATTAGAACACCTGTGCCTTGGGTGCAAAAGGAGATGGGGAGGGGGCGGAGGGAGAGCTGGATGAGACGTGGGCAAGCCGCCAGACACGGGAGGGGAGTGCCCCGTGTCTGGCGGCCATGCAGTATTTTTAGCCTCTGTTTTTAGTCCGTTTTTTTAGCTTAGGTTTTATTGCTTTTATTCATTTACTTATTTTTTTATGTATTTATAATAAATTGCTTTTAATTCACTTTTTATCCAGTGATCATTTTTAAATCTGGGTCCGAAGAACCTGCTTTTTACACATGTGACATGTGTTCTGCTCTGAGATTCTCCTACAAACTATTTCTCTTTGGGATCAATAAAGTTTTCTGAATCTGAACCTGAAAATAGCTGATGATGATTTCCTTTTCCAAACAGAGTACATGGATTAAATAATAACTGTTTTGTATTAAAGAATAGACATGTTGTTCGTCTTTTGTCCATCAAAAGCAGAAGACGTCGCCCATTGTACCATTCAGCAAAAACACATATAACATCATTCAAGATAGAGGCTTGTTATTCTGTAGAAATCCAGTTTTGTATTTAATCATTTGATCCTTTTGTAAATCGCTATGTTTATTTGAAGTGCATGCGTTTCTTGTTTTTCTCCCTGTCAATCAAAACCACCAGAAAAGGCAAGAAAAAAAGGACATGATTTTGTAAAGAAGAGTGAATGTGTGCAGCTAAGAGCGTGTGAATATAGTCGAGAGCTGAAACGACTGATTGATAACATAAGAAAAAGTAGAAGAAGTGGTTGTGAAAGATTCAGGGACTATAATCTTGAGTTGTTTATCTTCGTTTTGAACCTACCCTTGCAGGAGAATTTCCCCTTTGGTGCATGCTTTGAGTGCTAAAGTTAACTGGAGCCTATAGAAACCCATAGAAACCCACCTAAACATGGAAAGAAACATGAAAACTCCACACAGAAAGGCCCAGGCCAACACTTGCCTTGCTGTAATCTCAATCTGTAATGCAGATTTTTTACACTGTTTTTCAATCATTTCAACTCTTTTGGGTCGTTTTGTTGATGAATTGATAACTGCTCTATACACAAGCCAGACTTCAACATATGTATGGGCTGAATAAAGTGATTTCAAAATTCAATCTAAGCCAAACTACTACTTCATTTACATTTCTTGTCTATTAAATCTATTATACTTTACTCAAAGATTTTTGAGATTGAGATTTTTGAAAAGACAGACATCTATTTTAATGCCATACAAAAAAAGAGCAAATCCTTGAACATGTCCTGCCAATAACAAAACCTGTTAAACATTCCAACGAGAGGAATTCATCGAAAGAATAGTAATGTCACAGTGTGGATTTTGTGTTCTTTTGCGTTTTATTCTTATATCAGTTCTCTGTTGGTTCCTGTCTTGTTCCCCTTTGTTGATTGTCTGCCCCGCCCTATTGTGTGTCACCTGTGTCTTTGTGTGTCTATATGTACAGTGTGTTCTTCTACCCTTGTTGCTGGTCCATTGTATTGTCTTTCCTGTTCCTGTGTTCTGATGCAGTCAGCACATGATCATAGACGGAATCGGGATGAAAGCGGAAGTAACAATCCTATTTTCAAATTAGTTTTAGACTAATAAGTCCTTAAGCACGTGGGCGGCACAGTGGCTGAGTGGATAGCACTCTTGCCTCTCAGCAAGAAGGTCCTGGGTTCGAATCCCGGTTGGACCAGGGCCTGGAGTTTGCATGTTCTCCCAGTTTCCTCCGGGTACTCCGGTTTCCCCTACCACTAAAAATATGTACAATAGGTCTGGCATGTGCCCCCTGTACTGGCGACCCCGCTCCCATCTGTGTGTGGAGTGAGCGGACAAATGCCCAAAAAATAACAATTGTAAACCGCTTTGAGACTCCGATGTGCAGTGAAATAAATAAAACTTACTTACTACTTAAGTGATGACTGGTTAAGTTTTAGGTGTCTGAGTAAGATGGTTAAGGTCAGGGTTAAGGGTTAGGGTCTGTTAGTTTAGGTAGTTGGTTATATTTACTTCTGCTTCCGTCCTGATTCCGTATGTGATCTAGTGGAGTTTGTTTATCTATTCATGTATCTATTTCGAGCAAGTAAGTGGGCATAGAAATAATTAGTACAAATTAATCACATGTAATGTAGGTACATTTACAAAATATAACAAATATAAAGAGTAAATTTACTAACATAACACTTATGGGTGCTCGAACAGGAGTGGGAAGTAGTAAACACTTATTCAATCCCACCCCTAATTACCTCAGTCATTACAAAGGTAAAGTAAAGGCTTCCTATTGGCTCCAACATTAATTTAGCACAGATTACAATATCTAAAATAAATAAGTTTAGAACTTTTTTTGGACTTTTGTTTTATTCTTTATATCATTATTGTTTAACCATTATTTTTAGGCATTTCTGCTTGTTGGGTCCTTCATCCCACCGCACATGACAAATAATAAGATGATAAAATTATCAAGTGTTTGTTAAAAACATTTTTGCTTTACATCGCTGACAAAACGGCACCTGAGGAGTTCAAAACAGCAGCTGTATAATCATGCTCCCTGTCACAGCGTCACTCCACACTAGAGAAGAAAACACTGAAAGATTGTTTAGAAGTGATGCTAAAGGTGAAAAAAAAAAAACACAGTGAGCTCTGAATACAAGCGTGTGTCACGGAAAGACGGTGCCGACAGAACCCACAGCAGCTCTCATTAGAGGCCCCTCACACGGACACACTGTCAGACTGCAGCAGGAGCCCAGAGCTGGAGCCTCCCCTGACACGTCTCTGCGAACATCAGCGCTACACACCGCTAGGAAAATATTTACAAGGAAGGCTCTCTAACAGAATTTTAGATCAAAAAACTCCTCCGCCAGGTGATGGTCCGACAACACTGTGTGCATCTGTTGTCGTGCACTTTGGTTTAACTGCCATGGTGGGCTCTCAGCACTCACGGCTCAGTAGGAAGACGCTGCTGTGCGTTCTGATGGGAGAGCGATGTGTTTGGAGTAATACGAACCTATGTGATGAATTGTATTTGTATGTAAATGGATACAAACTAAGATTAAGACATCCTTCATTTGTCCCAAAGTGGAGACATTTTCGTTTTGCTTTCACAAGTAGCAGGGCCGCAGGAAGAAGCAGCACACAACACAAGATAAGTGAATATTAGGCAAAGCACAACTCTATAAAATAAAAACTGCCGCCATAAAAAT